GGAGAGGGGCCGGGGGGTCTAGGGGCTGACTGGTGAGCGGCAATGCGAAGGGTCTGCTTTGGGGGAGGTAGTACAGTGAGCCTCAGAAAGAGGTGAGGAGTTGAAGAATGGTTGTACAAATTTTAAATTAAAAATGTAAAATTAAACAATTGGTATTTACATATCAGGAAATAGTACCAGTAATGCCTTGATTTAGGAATTGATAGAGTGTATTTAAGGAGCTGAAGCTGAAAGTTCTGTATGTTTTGCAGTTCAACATGCAGATCTTTGTGAAGACCCTGACTGGCAAGACCATCACCCTCGAGGTGGAGCCCAGTGACACCATTGAGAATGTGAAGGCCAAGATCCAGGACAAGGAAGGCATTCCCCCTGATCAGCAGAGGCTGCACTTCGCTGGCAAGCAGCTGGAAGATGGTCGCACCCTGTCTGACTACAACATCCAAAAAGAATCCACCCTGCACCTTGTCCTGCGCCTGAGGGGGGGCATGCAGATTTTTGTGAAGACCCTGACTGGGAAGACCATCACCCTTGAAGTGGAGCCCAGTGACACCATTGAGAATGTGAAGGCCAAGATCCAGGACAAGGAAGGCATTCCCCCTGATCAGCAGAGGCTTATTTTTGCTGGCAAGCAGCTGGAAGATGGCCGCACTCTGTCTGACTACAACATCCAGAAGGAATCCACCCTGCATCTCGTGCTGCGCCTGAGAGGTGGCATGCAGATCTTTGTGAAGACCCTGACCGGCAAGACCATCACCCTCGAGGTGGAGCCCAGTGACACCATTGAGAATGTGAAGGCCAAGATCCAGGACAAGGAAGGCATTCCCCCTGATCAGCAGAGGCTGATCTTCGCTGGCAAGCAGCTGGAAGATGGTCGCACCCTGTCCGACTACAACATCCAAAAAGAATCCACCCTGCACCTTGTCCTGCGCCTGCGGGGTGGTTGTTAAGTTATTGTGCATCTTGCTTGTCAACCAAGATTGCCAATAGCAGTTGTTTGCACTTTAGTTATTCAATGTCTTAAATTTAATGCAAGCTTAAGTAGCTGCTGAACAGCTGTTGTTGAAATGCTAATAAAGTTTTCTGTTGCACATTACAACTTGTAGTCTGTCTCAGTCCAAGGTAGTAAAACTGGTGTGTTTAAGTGACATGCTCACTGTGGCTTTCTTCCCATGGCATTTTAAGCCTCTTTGCATGTATAATGAGGACCTTGTGGATGAAAGAGATCTGGATTAAAGTCTTTAATTTAAGCACTAATACCATGTTATTTCTTCTTCCTAGGGTTTTAGCACAAGTGTTTCCAGGAAGGATAATACCTTTTTTAAAAGACCCCAGAAAGCCACAAACCAGCTGAAGGTGGCATGGCTGCCGATGGAGTGGGGTGGGTTTTGCTGCAGCTTGTAGATGTGTTTAAATTGACTCTCCCGGGTGTGAACAGTTCAAGTGATGAGCTGCTGTCTGCTCTGGCAGGGGCTATGTGAGCAAACATTGGTAGTTTTGGGTTTTTTAAGTGAAAACTTAACAGTGACAGTATGTTCCAAGTAAATTTTACGAAAGTGGGTGTGGGGAACACCTTGATCTGGGGAAGGGCTGATTATGGTGTGGATCCACTGCTGGGACAGGGGCAGGCACTGGGGGTGTGGAGGGATCAGTTGGCGGGAAGCTGGTGTCTCAGATACTGAATGGCAATATCTGAGCGGTGTGACTGCCTGGTTTAAGTTTTTTACACAGGTATCTAGTGCCAAAAGTTCCCCCTGAAGGATGGGTGGGATTTTTTAATGGGGTGGGTTAAGGGAAACTCACCCAAACAGGTGGGGTTAGCCTGGTTTAGATCAGATGTGCAGTGGTGGGTCTTAAGGTGGATGGAATCATCCAGGTTATAGAATCATAGATTCTTTAGAACCAGGTTCTAAGGATCACGGCTGTCAGTGTCTTCACCTGTTGAATTTTGACAGCTGCCTGACTTGAAGTGGGAGTCTGGGCATCCATATGTTGTGTGCACAGTTTCTGTGTTGCTGCCCTTCATGTTTTGCTGGTAACCCTGTATTATGCACCATCTTAACTTTTTTTTGTCTGCTGTAGTGTAGCAGTGAAAGCTTTGTCCTCTTGAATTTTGGCTTTCAGTGTAACATCACTGTCTGTGGTAGGTAATGTATCACTGCATTCTTAGCAGGGATGCAATCACGGCCGAAAAGACACGCTCCTGTTTTCATGGAAAACTGCACGTTGTAACTAAATTCCCCGTAGTTTTGATGCTTATAACCATGAGAGGTTTGGGGGTTTTTTCAGCAGCAGGGCTTGCTTCACTGTCGCTATTACATAGCTGTGCTGGCAGAAACTTAAAATTCTGTAACCAATTGCTGTTTCTACATAAGAGGTACTTTCCTTAGGTTACTTGAATTTTCCTGCAGTTGCTGCTTTCCCCTTTCCTTTGTTTTATGCTTTACACAGTTTAGCCCCTTAGCCAGGTTTTGCTTTTTCCAGTTCAGCCCCCTGGGTGGGTTGCCCAGAGAGGTGGTTGGGGCTCCTTCAAAAGCCATCTGGTTCTGGGCAACTGACCGGGTGGCCTGGGTTGAGCAGGGGGCTGAGCAAGGTGACCTCCAGAGCTCCGGTCCAACCCCTACCCTGGTGCTGTCCCTGCGGGCTGGGTGTGTCAGCCTGCTGCTGCTCCTGGGTGTGCAAGCTCCCTGAGCAACTGGTAGTCCGGAGGAGGCAGGGCACTGAATAAACATACATGACTGAATTTACATCACTTATGTCCTGCTACTTTGTCCTATGGGAAAACTCCAGATGTCCTTTCTCAAGTTCTTTTAATAATTAAGCCATGCTGTATGGTAACAGTTCCAGGCAGTAACTGGTCACGCAGCACAGGCTGCGGGGCAGTTTGGTTTGGATAAGTCTGTAAGTGGCCGGTATCCTTCCTCCAGAGCCGCCCACTGACCCAGAACCACTGCAGGAGTGTTTCTCCAATACAATGCGGTGCCCAGACTTGCTAGGCCATGTTAGGTGTCAGCGAGCTTTGTGCAGAGCTGCCTTTGGGGTCTGCTCTGCGGTGCTGGGGACCCTGGGTGGGTGATGTGTGAGGGGGGCTGCCCCAGCCCCCCAGGGCGTGCTCGCTCTGACATTGCGCAGCCTGAGCCGGAGCTGTGCTGAACTGTTGGCTCTGCCGGTCCTTCTGGTGTCCTGTTTGTGGATGCTTCATGAGTGCAGCCACACCTGGAGCCTGCTTTGGTCTGGTGTTGCACTGGAGGTAATGAGCAGTGGGAAGAGGGGAGAATTTTCCGGCATTTTGTGATTGTGGGGAACAGCTCAGGACTAGTTTTGGCAGCCTGTGCTGATGGTGTGAAGCTGACTGTGTCCGTGTGCTGTTCTCCCCAGCCCTGCAGGAGGGTTGCTTTAGGTGAGGCTTGTGCTGCATCTCTGCGTTTGACTCCCTAGGAAGGGCACAGAACAGCACGTCCTGGAAGCCAAAGCACAAGGATGGAAATCCCCAGGTGCTGCAGTGTTGCAGCACGAACTGGGTGAATTGCAGAGCCGGCTTCTCCGGTGGCTCACTGTGAGGACACAGGGCACTTGCACTGGACTTCCTCCTTGCAGGAGCTGTGTTATCCGGGCTTCTGATCCCCCAGCTAACGGAGGGATGGCAGTCATCTAGCTGGAATAATGACTGCAAGGGACTTCTTTGTTAATGAAGAAAAATCTTTGCAATTTATCTTAAATTATGTATATAAATTACAAAGAAATGTAAATTTGCATAGCATCCATCTTTATCACTGAAGAAGTTATGAACAAAAGACAAAGTAAGTGGCATCAAGCAATCGGAATGATTGATGTTGTTAAGATACATTTATTTTTCTTACAGTGTGGTGATACCTCAATTGAAACTGCTTAGAGCCAACTATTGATAATAAAGAATTTAATAGGCTTTAGCCAGAATCTATATGCTATTAAAATGGAATCATCCTAATGCTCCTATATGGACAACAGATTCTGGTAACATCTTTCAGTCCTTCTGCAACCTGAGCTTGGTGACTGGCCTCTGTTTTTTCTTATAGCTTCAGTTAATTTCTAGTATGTTCTCTCTTCAGGAAAAAAAAATTTCCAAGATTTCGGGGGGTTTGTCTTCTGTGCTTTTAAAAAAAAATGCTTCTGTTTAATGAGGGTAAATGAGATAACCCCGTTATACTGGATTTTGGATACATTTAGTGTTTTGCTCTGTTCGCAACTGCCCCGAAACATAATCATATAGGGAAAGTGAGGGTTAAGGCACAGACACGTTGGGAATGCCGCAGTGTTTTTGCCGTCTTGTCTGCAGTTCCAGAGGCATTGCACAGTAGCTGCGTTCAAAGATCCTTGGCTGCACAGTTTTATACTTACGGAGTGTCGCTGCGTCATCAAAACAGCCTTATTTGGAACTTGAGATTTTCAGTTAGACACATTTCTGTTAACTATTTTGGTGCAAAGAGTAAGTGAATGGCTCTAATTCTCACAAGTGTAATGTTTGCAACTCCTTTTTGCTATTTTTGAAGAAATTTCCTACGCAGGGTGTTTTCCTAAGCAGCACAAGTCAGGGTTTGTTGATGGCCGCTGGATGTCAGTGTTTCTCCACGAAAGTGTGAGTTTGTAACGTTACCGTTGGGTTTCGTATTTTGCTGCTATTTGATTGTCAGTGGAGCATTCCTTCAGGCTGTAACCCTACAGAAAGGGATACATCAAGCAGAAAGATACTTCCATTTAAGGAATAAGAGAAGTGGATGGTTCCTTCAGAGGCCTGAGCAGTGTATAGAGAGGAGCCTTTAGATATTACAAGGTAAGGCTAGTAGTTACAGAAATACTGGCGTGTAAATTAATTGAGTCCTCAGGGCTATGAGACAAGTTCTGACAAGGAATTATATTTAAGAATATTTTGGATTTTAGATTGGGCACTGGCTGGTGTATGAAAAAAAAAAAAAAAAAGTCTGGCCTTGCAAAAATACATTTTCCCTAGTCTAAAGTATGCATTTAAAAGAAACAGTTTTTTCTTTTAGCCAGTCTTTTATTTTAGGCTTTCAGGAGGTTTGAATGAAGTGCTGGCCTACCTGTTGTTGTGGAGAAGATGTTAATGGTCCGCGCTTGCCTGCTGTTCTTACAGGCTGCCCTGCTCCTGTGAAGATGATTTTTGAGCTGCTACCACTTAGAGTGGCTACGGATCAATGCTGTAATTATATTACAGATGTATAAGTGACTTTGAACTTGTATTTACAGCATACATGGTATTAATTGTAAGAGTATTAAGTTTTTCAGTATTTGGTAAAAATGCATTTAGGTGACAGAGACTATGTACTTTAGGAAATGTGCTTATTTCCATCTTTTTAGAAAGACGTTTTCCTCATGCTTCCTTTTGCCTTCTGTTTAAGCAGGTTCTGGTCATTGTTTTTCCTGCCATGAATTACTGTGCTGCTTTAGATATCATCTATGATAATTCTATCATAATTGTCAGTATGAAATGCTTCCTTCGATTTGACTTATAATTTCACTTAGTAGTTCAGAGTTTGACTTCTCTCTTCCCAGATTTAACAGATTCCACAGAATGCATCTGTCCTGTCAGGAGAAACGTAGTGCCTTCAGACACATTTTCATCAGCAAAATTGCAAGATTCCTCCTTATTCCTCCAAATAAAAGCCTGAAAAGGCAAGAGGATCACGTGTTGCTTTTGAAAACTCAGGCTGGCAGATAGGTGAAACTAAATTGCTGCTTTTATTGTCCCTACGTGCTGCTTTGGATGGCTTTTTCCTGATGCCTGACAGCTATCAGGATTATAAATTTTGGTGGCAAGATGCTTGTTTAGTATCCTAACCAGCACAGCAGTGTTGTAATCCCATTACTGACCTTGCCATGCTGTCACTGGCAACTGCACATTTGGGCAGATCTTGTATTTTTTTTGCCTTGCTTCTCCCTTCTCTGAGATGGAAATGCGAGTGTTTACCCCAGCGTACTCTGGGCGAAAGCGCGTGCGCATGTGTGTGTGCATACCAACGTTTCTGTGTTCCCCCAGCAGCTCCATGTTTCTGTTTTGCTGTGGTGACCTCTCAGCTGGCAGCGATTCCTTTCCCAGCAAGCTGCACATTCTCCTTCCTCGGTGTAAGCTATTAAAACCAGATGCGCAGAAAGAACTCTGTCAGGATGCACTTTTGTGCTTTGGTTTCCTTCCTTGGCTGGAATGGTGGGTTGCCTCCCATGAAAGCTGGGGGAAAATCCCAAGAGGATTTAAATCCCTAAGACTGAGCTAAACTCCTGGGCCTGCATCGATGTCTGTTGATATCACAGTAAATTAAGTGTAATACAACTAAAGGAAACTGAACAACATCAGTGCAAAGCTGACAGATAGAAGTGATGAGATCTGGTCTTGCGTTTCTCTGCGTATGTTCGGTTTTTATAGGCTATTCTGTGGGTCCTTAAAAAATCATTAAGCCTGGAAAGAATAAGTAGCTTTGTGTTGTTCCTGGATCAGCTTAATTTTGAAACACAGGAATCTGAGAAATAAGCTTGTGATCTCATGTAAAACCATGCAAGAGGAAAAGGCCCCCTGCCATTTAATGGGTGTATTTGTAGGAAGGCCGTCTCACAACCTGCATCTGACTCAAAGTAGGAGCCATCTGGGAATGTTTCTGTGGGTGACAACCACATTCCAGGAACCTTCACAGCATCCCGCAGTCCTGTCAGGTGAGGATGGCTTTAGTCTTTCCTGTGACTCATGATAGGTCCGGAAGAAGAAAGCCACAGCCAGAGTTCAGTGTGTCATGATGTGACACCCCTTCTCAATGTTTCTGGACCAATGGTTAACTAAACTTCTGAGATTTCTCATGGAATGTGCCCCTGCTGTCAAGCTGTTGATTAGAAGAGCTCTTCACCATTTTGTTAGTTAATAAGGTTCTCTAGATGAGCTCTAGACCACACAAATGGCTTTGTAAAGCATCAGTTCTGTACAGAGCACAGACAAGAATCCCTTTGCGGCAACATTGTGCTGGGGAAGGCTGCTGGGGCTGCGGGTGCCGAGTGTCATCCTGCTCTGCTGCGGCAGGAAATCGTGGTCTCGCCAGGAGTGGGAGAGAAATAGCTCAGAGACTTGGTGTGGGCGGATGTCTCTGTTTCCCAGGGGTCCTGTTTTGTGAAGTGGTACGAGGGTGCACGCATGGTCTCAGCGCAGGGATGGCCAGCCCGTGTGCGTGGAAGGAGCTTCTCCAACACTCCTTTGGAGAACCAACCCATTAAGAAATGGGCGGCAGTGGCAAACTAAGTAACCAGTGGCCTGAGTGTTCTGGAACTGGGGCTGCTTTGTGCCGTCTCCTGTGCTCATGATGAGCAGCTGACGCTGTACTTTTTAGGGTAACGCTCTGGTTTGTTTATTGTCTCATAGTTTGCGCTGCCTCGTAACTGGGGTGTGTGAAGCGTGAGGAGAACTGGCTTCCCACAGAAACAGTTGACCTCAGATGTTTCGATGTCCTAGGGCTAACTGAGGGAGCCTTGTGACAAACCTCACAACTAAACCGCAGGCTCCAGCACTGCCAGGGTCACATCAGCCGCCTCCCTCGAGATCTGAGCGGGCTGTTACTGAAAGCCAGGAGATGTCGCCTCTATACGTGCAGGCAGGGGTTAAGCGTTATGAATTTGCAGTAGCCAGCCAGCTTTCCCATATAAGAGCACTGCACTCATTGGCTCGCTCTTTTACTGAGAAATCCATCTAGTCATTTCCTGTGCAAGCCCTTCTTCCCTTTGCAAAAAGCTATACAGTTGAGTAAATTGCAATAATCCATGATTATTCCTTCTCGCAGGCAGCTTGGATTCTCTCATGGACCACCGCCAGCTAGGAGTTCAACGTTGTGCCATTAATAGACTGCTACTATGAGCGTGGTCTTCTCTGCAGAAGAAGAGGACTCTCACCCATGGATGTAAATAATTTGGGGTCTGCTTTCATGCTTGTTAATGCTTGTTGGTATTTGACTTGGTTTCTACTGAGAGATTATTTACCCTCTGAAGGATCTGTTGGGACTCCTTGTCAGATCGGTTCTTGGGTGGAGCTTGCAGCAACTTGGGGTAAGTGTTGTGCTCTTCCTCTTTTGACAGCAGGGCTTTTTGTGCTGCGCTACTCAAAATGGCTTGGTAAAATTGCAGAAAGAAACAACTTGGCTCTTGAGTAGAGACGTGAAAGTTGAGCTGGCAAACAGAGAGTGCTCTCTGTGTTTCCTAGGGACGCATAAAGTGGATGTATATATTATAGGGTCCTTTTTTTTTTAGGGCTGTTTTGTTCTTGCTTTTAAGCCAGACAGTCTGTCTGTACAAGACTGACAATAAATAACTCTCTTGAGCACTGTGGAGAGATGGAAACTGCAGCTGAGGAATGATTTTGGGCAAAGGAAGACAGAAAAGCGCAAGCAAACTATTTTGGAAGTACAAATAGCCCTCTAAAGGATCGGCAAATGTACCAGTAAGTGTTTTGGGGGAGGAAATAAGTCTGAAATGGGATTTATAGGGTGTATGCCTACATGTGCAGAAGAATGTTTGTCATTAAAGACTAAACTGAATGGCTGAATTATGATAATGGTTCATCTTGAAATCAGCCCTTGGATTTCTTGCTGTGAGCTGCATAAAGATGTTTTGTGTCTGTTTTCTGCCTAGAACTCTGTTTTTCCACATCCTAATCTAAGCCAGAATGCTTATGCTGTGTATGCTGTGTCAATTTACCTCTTTGCTGGTACAGGCTGTGGAGTCTGGCTGTAGTCCCAGCAAGGGAGACTTCTCTTCAGAGAAAACCTGTTAACCATTTGAAGGGAGTGTATGTGAATAAAACAGAGTTATTAAAAAAGCTCTGCTTCAGATTGGTGGTCGTGGATGTTTCCTTGCTGCCTCACAAACTGCATGAATCTGCAGTCGTAAGCGGTCTACAGATAGTTTGCGTTGGGTGTGGATCTGAGATGTATCCAGAGATATAAGAAGAGATGTCTCAGAAGAGTGAAGGAGTACAGGACATATGAATGGAGAAGTGGGCTGGCTGGGTGCTCTGATGAATACTGATGCTGTCTCTACAGCAGACCTGGATCCAGCTTTGCTCTCAGGAGAGCTGTGCCGTGCTCAGGCTCTGAGGGCTGTGAGCGTCCCGTGGCAGCTGGGGTGTGTGTTTGCCTGTGCTGCGGAGCTGCACGTTCGAAGCCTGTGCTCGCGTGGAGAGCCAACTGCTCCCAGCATGGGGGAGAGCCCACTCATTTTGCCCTAGGTTGAAATGTGAGAATGTATGAAGGGAACATAATTTGTGCTTGTTTTCTCTGTAGAAATAGTGTCATTCTTACCAACAGAGAACGTGAACAAACTTACCACTCATTTCCAAAGAAAGCATGCAGTTAACCTTATCTTTCTGGCCACTTGGTGACCAGCCTGTGTTTGCTGCACTGAGACAAGAACAATGATCGTGGTCTCCTAAAGAGCCCTTTTCTTTGCCTTTTATGTAAGGAACCTGTGCTGCTGCCAACAGGTGAGGTCATCTCACAAAGGGGCTTCAGATGTTCTGCAGATGGGTTGCCTGTATTTCATGAACTGCTTTTAAACTTCTCCAGTGGTACCCTGTTTAAGGCCTTGATCCTTTATTCACCTGCTCCCAGCTGTCCAGTTTTACTGAATCTCTCTCTCAAGGGAGTCAACTGTAGGAACCTGGAAACATGCTTTCCTCTCTGTCACACTGAACACATTCTAGGCTTGTGAACAAATTGTGTTAATTCTCCCTCTCCCTTGCAGGTTTAGTTTCCCAGCGGGGAACGTCTTCGGTGATCTGCAAGACCATCTCTGCTAGAAATGGATAATGCCACAAATGGGCAGCCAGGCCCAGGTCAGAGGAACAGGCTGGTAGGATTGCTAGAAACAGATGACAGTATCCAGGAAGATAAACCTGTATCTAGTAAAAAGGAAGAAAGATCAGGATATGGAAAGAAAGGAGAGCCACAGCCTTTGGAGACACCTTATCAGAAGGAGAGCAGTAACTTTCCTCCTAAAGTCAAGATTAATCTGAACTATCGGCCAGGACTTGTCAGCAAGTGAGTAGTAACTCTTGGGTATGGGACAAGGGTGGCATCCCTGTTGATCTGTGCTGATCCCTGCTGGCAGGGGTCTGTAGACTTTACCAAAGCCCAAAATAAAAGTGACGATACAGGAACATTACAGGGGTCTGTTGGGAGGTAATTAAAGGGGAGATGCTAGCTCTTTCCTTCTGCACTTGGAATGTATGTGTTTGGTGTGTGCTGTGGTGTATTTTGCGTATATCTGGTCTAGCACCAAATAAGCCAGGCTGGGTGTGAGAGCAGCTTAGCATGGAGATCTGTACAGCTGAGCTGGTCCTGCCAGGGAGGGATGTCAGCTAGCTCACAGTGCTTCTCACCATGTGACGGGACTGACTCTGGTCCTGCAGCTATCTTGGGCTTCTCTTTCTTTGCACTCTGGATGCATTCCAGGGTTGCACATCAGACTGGATCTGGGAAGAGCTCCAGCTGATGGAAAGTGCAGCCACTTAAGAGAATTCTGGGAAATAACAGCCTCTATTTTTCCCTTGACTCAAAAAAGAAAATAGTTTTTTTCCTGACGAACTTTTCTGCCTCCGTCCTTTCTTATGCCATCCCACTAGAACTTATTGCACACTCTTGTCTTCTGCTCTCCAGAACTTCTTAACGCTTTGCATTTCTTCCGTAGCCAAAAGGACCCCAATCGCTTTGACAGAGACCGGCTCTTCAGCGCAGTCTCAAGGGGCAGCCCTGAAGCACTAGATGGTTTACTTGAATACTTAAGGAGGACCTCCAAATTTCTCACCAATTCTGAATACACAGGTAGATTCCTGTTCAGTGCTCCATAAACAGGGTTAGCAGAAGCAGTGCTTGTTAATGTGTGAGGGAAGCAGGGGACCCGCTTGTGGTTTTTCACTTTCTCCAGCTCTCTGTCTATTCTTTTATTTTCCCAATGTCCGTCTGAGGATGGAGAATGCCATTAGTTACATATATCATAAGGCTTTTGCCTCTACTGCAGACTAAAAATACTGAGAAAGGCCTTTAAAATGACTATTGTATTTGGTCCTATGGTGACAGTTGGGTTCTGGGCACACAGAATTGGGTGTTTGCAGGTGTATGCAAAGCACATGTGCAACCCATTCAATGTTCTTTTTCTGATAGATGCAAAGACTGGGAAGACTTGCTTAATGAAAGCCCTGATGCACTTAAAGAATGGAAAGAATGACACAATCCCACTTTTGCTGGAAATAGACCAAAAGACACAGAACCCCAGGCCACTTGTCAATGTGTCGTGCTCTGATTGTTACTACAGAGGTAAGGTTTCTGTTCTCATGCTGCGTCAGAGCAGCTTCCCCATTAGACAGGTGAGATGTGCAGGTACAAGGAGAAAGAGGGGAACTGGAGCTTGTGCTACACTGCCGTTCCAGAGTCCTGGTGCAGTTACAGTAACAGCCTGCTCACCTTTTAGTTCTCATTTCTGATTCTGGTACTGCATCTTCTTCAGTCTTGAATGATACACTTCTGCAATGTGGTTCTCAGTTTATAAAACAGAAATGATACGTGTTTAATAACCTAAGAATACGAGAGGATTTGTTTAGGAAAGCTTAAAAAGCACATCTAAAATGAAAAAGAAATAGTATATTGGTGTTAAAGAATGAGTTCTGCCAGTTGGGTTATCCTTTTAATGGCAGACGAGCAGCGTAGTCGTGCACATGTATGGTTGTCTTTATCCTCTCATGGCTGCTTGGGATCTCAGTGCCAGGCAGGGGTAATTGTCTGGTCTTGCATTGAATTTCTGATAGTCTCAGGGCTTTGGATTCAGTGTTTGCAATGTGCTTTTCCAATGAACATTGATGGAAGTCGTCAATTGCCACCCACCCCTGCCCAGCCCTGAGACTGCAGAAGTGCTCTGCAGAGCTTACAGCGCTTGCTGAATGGCGCTTTGCCAAAGAGTTCTTGCCCTGTTCACTCTGATACTGGCACCGAGTGATAGGTTTTGCTTTTTTCCTTAGGCCAGACAGCACTCCATATTGCCATAGAGAAAAGGAGCCTAGATGTAGTGAAACTTCTAGTAGAGAATGGAGCTGATGTCCATGCCAGAGCCCATGGTGAATTCTTCAGGAAGAAGAAAGAAGGAGTTTACTTTTATTTTGGTGAGTCAGTGTGGGACATGTTCCTTTGGGTTTTTTATTGCCTTACTGTATGTGATGCCGCTAATTCTAGTTGGGTTTGCCCCTCTGTGTGGGTTGCCATCTCCACTGCCCTGTAATCAAGCTCTTGATTTATTTGAATAGCAGGATCCTTTCACAGACTGAGGTGTCCAATGAGCACTTGCCATTGTCTTTGGTTTTATGTATTTAGTCCCATCTGAGGGGCTTCAGACAGAGACAAGGACTTGGTTGGTTTAGCCAAAAGTGTTTCAGCTGCCCCCAGATATAAGGAGTAATTGTTTACTGCAAAACCCTTTCTGGATCTAGAGACACTGAGGAAGAACTTGTTCTGTGTTTGAGTGGTAAAACTGTAGGCTAAATATATTTTCCTAAAATTGTTTGGTTTTTTTTTTTCTTTAATTCTTTTTTTGCTTTGCTCTGCGTCACCTCCAAATACTCTCCTCATCTCTTCAGGTGAACTTCCTCTCTCCTTGGCTGCTTGTACCAACCAGCTTGAGGTGGTGGAATATCTTCTAACTAATCCCCACCAGAAAGCCAGGCTCCAGGAGCAGGATACCCAGGGCAACACGGTCCTCCATGCCCTGGTGATGATTGCAGATGACACTAAGGAGAACACCAAGTTTGTGAGCACAATATACGTTGACATCTTGAAGACAGGTGTGAAGGTTGACCCAACAGTGAAACTGGAGGAGATAGTGAATTATGATGGATTAAATCCTCTGCAGCTTGCTGCCAAGACAGGCAAAGTGGAGGTAAAGACAACTAGAGGGAATCCCTGGAGTTGCTGAGAAACTGTACCATACATCCTCAGCATAGCAGTGGGGCTTGTAGGAGCCTCTTGCACCCAACCCGTAGTAATGAGCCTGGCAGTGGCTGTGCCCCAGGAGATGATAAAGGAGGCCTACTCCAGGCCACTCCATTTAGTGTTCTACAGAGCCTCAACTGGCTGCTGCTGCTCTCTGTCCCAGCCAAGACAGCTGGTCTGGACTGAAATTGGTTCTGCTCCTGGAAGAGCTGATACAAGGTGTAGATAGATTGCCTGCTTTTAGCCAGATGGTCTGGTGTTTGGGTGTATCAAAGTGTATAATGCAGAAAGCCGGGTGTCCTGCATTTGAAGGTGATTTGGGTATGCTTGTGTCATTCTACACCTTCATTACATACATGTTTTTCTGGTATGTGTCCGGCTTCTCTTCAGATCTTCAAGCACATCATCCAAAGAGAGATCAAAGACCCGGTGTACAGGCACCTGTCACGCAAGTTCACCGAATGGACCTATGGACCTATCCACGTGTCTCTGTATGACTTGTCCTCTCTGGACAGCTTCGAGGAAAACTCCGTGCTGGAGATTCTGGCATACAGCAGTGACACACCAGTGAGTGCTTTTACTGAAAGTCAAAGACAACAACCTTTTTTTTCTGCCTTTCTATAGTATTTCTGTATAATTATGCAAATTGTTTCAAGTTAATGTGGTGTTTCACATGATAATTTTTCTGGAAAAGAAATGCATAATGGAAGTATTTGCATATTTTATTATTTATAGTCTGCTTGGTATGCCTGTGATAATCTGTAATATGAGAGAAATTTTTGATTCTTTGGTTGTCCTAAGCCTGGATGTGTCCAAAAACCTTCATGAAGCCAAGCAGAAGTAACTTCTTATGGGATGGTTGATTTCTTTCATACTGAAAGGCCTGACGGAATAAACCTTAGCGATGCCCTAGTTGGAGCCACTGAACTCCAGATGATCCTCTAGTGAATTTGCATTCCTGTTGACACAAGGGTACATTTTCCTTGTTTGTTTTTCCATAGAATCGGTACAAGATGGTGGTTTTGGAGCCACTGAACAAACTGCTTCAGCAAAAATGGGAAACATTTGCTTCCAAGAGATTCTACTTCAGTTTTGTCTCGTACTTGTCATTCATGATCATCTTTACAGCCATTGCATACTATCAGCCCTTGCGGGTTAAGGTAGGTCCAATCTTCTTTTATCTGGAAAGGCCTGAATGGATGGAGCTAAGTTCAAAAGGTGTGGGTGGTTATCATCACTGCCACTGCCTGTCATCAGCATCTTTTTTTTTTTTTTTTTTTTAAGCCTTCATTTCCAGTGGAGTTCACAACTGGAGGCTTCCTGTGGGTCTCTGGACTGATCATTATCCTGCTCGGAGGTGTTTATCTCATCTTTGCTCAGGTATGGGAATCTCTTGTCTAGTTTAATTGTAAGAGAGAAAAAAAGGGAACTCTCACTGATGTGGAGGCAACTGATTGAATTCTGACATCAGGATGTGCATGAGTTGATGACAGGAGGGAATCCTGCTCTGAGACACTCAGTGTCATCGCAGTTTGGCAGTGACAGGGGTGGCACAAGCCAGGTTGCTGGGCAAGAGGAAGAATAGGTTCACAACAGCAAATATTATGAGAGACTTCTGTGATTCATCGTACTAAAATGGATCAGTGGCGTTTAACGCAGTCTGTTGATAAAGACATTGGGCTGAGCCATGATTCAGCCCTTGTTTGTCCTTGCCTTTTATAAATAAGGCCTTTTTTTTCATCTTGGAAGGATGACTAGCTGAAATTTGGGATCTTGAAAATGAAAGCATGAAGAGGAGCTTATGTAGCAAACCTTTACCCCAAGCAATAGGCTAGGCTGGGCAGGAATCACTTTCTAGCGTGCCTTGGTTTTCTGATGGATGGCTGCCATTGGTTTTTCTCTAATAGAGTCTGTACTTGCGGAGGAGACGCCAGTCCCTGAAGACTATGTGTTCTGACAGCTGCATTGAGATCTTGATGTATGTCTCCTGAGGCTTTTTGCGCTGTGAAAGCATGGGTGAAACTGGTTCTCTGCTGTGTGCAGCTAAGTTGCCCTAACATTACTAGAGAGATGGTGAGCAGGAAGGATTGATTTTCTGCCGCTGTCTCCTCTTTCCGTCCCTTCCCTACTTGCTTCTCCCAGATGCATCTTGTCATGATAACCCTTTGTTGTAATGGACTTTTCTGGGTAGGATCTGTCCGTGGATTTGTGGCTGAACATGGTGAAGGTCAGACCCTCAATTATTCCACAGTTAAGAATGGTTAAGAATATTTATTAGAAGAAGAGCTCAGCTTTCAATCATACAGTCACTATGGCTCAGATTTGCTCAAAAGGAAAATAATCTCTCAGTTTTCTGAGGAGAAGTGGGTATAGATGCATGTGTGTGCATGTGTCCAGAAGTGTTAAAAGCCTTTTCCATTTTATATCAGTTATGTGAGTTATATCAAGCAGTTTAGAGTTTCTATACCATGAGATTAACCAATTCGTAACAAAACTGCAACAAACTGTGGGTCTGGTTATAACAGGATTTGCTTATATAAACTCTGTGTCTGATTAACTGCCACTTTATATGTTGCATGTAGCCTTGCAAAATGTGTTTGCTTTTCCTGGCAACAGGAAACAGATCTGCAAATGGGCCTTTGTGTTGAGGTAAGTGACTCTGTCACTCATTCTCCTTTTCTCCAGCTTCATCCAGGCTTTCTCATTGCTGCTGTCGGCGGTCCTGTATGGTGCAAGTTCAGAAAACTATGTGGCGGTGATGGTGTTCTCACTGCTTTTGGGATGGGTGAACATGCTGTATTACACACGGGGCTTTCAGCGCATTGGGATCTACAGTGTCATGATACAGAAGGTCAGTACTTGGAAAAAAACCTCTGTATGCAAGGCTTTTGGGTGTGAGGAACTAATAGAAGTCCTGCAATTACTTTTCTTCTCTCAGGATAATGAAAATCATAAATGGAGTTGATGTACTGACTATGGAAGTAAAGAAATTGCAGAAGGAAATTAGCTCAGTGTCTTCAAGGAAGTACAATTGTGGCAAACCACTAGTTTGCCATCTTCTAATATAGCAAGTGAGAGCAGCTGACACTTCCCTGTTTGTCATAAAACAACTCAAAACTAGCCGTCAGAACCAGAGCAAGTTCCCAGAACTGTTATGCTTGGGCTGAGAAGTGTTTCCTTGTCCGTAGAGGAGTCTGGGACTAGAAAGGAGAGACAAAGCAGAGGTGAAATGAGGGGACAGGGAAGACTCCTGATCACCACTTGTGTGAAACCCAATGGTGATAGAAAGGAAGGAGATGTGTGTGTTGAAACAATTCGGAAACAGCCATAGTGGGGAACTGACATGATACTGATTTGTTTCAAAGAACCTGTTCATACTGATGTAACAAAGAAGTTCATGTAGTACCCTCGGATTAAGATACAAACACTGTTACTTACCTGAGGAAGCAGTTTAACATGTATTATAGTTTCTTAAACTGGATAAAATAATTTTCCAACTTGCCTTCAGTGTTGTTACTGAGGGTTGGCTCATGATGTGTGAGAACAGATCATTCTGGTGATTTCATGTGAGATAAAGAATGGCTCTTCCTCCTGACTTGTCTTGCAGACTATCCTGAGAGATCTGCTGCGTTTCCTCCTGGTTTATGTGATCTTCCTCTTTGGCTTTGCTGCAGGTAAGGATTTACTCAGCGTTAGGTTATAGACAGGGCTGCAAGAAGTCAGTTTTTCTGAGGAGGATTCAAATTCTGTTTTTCTCATAGCTCTGGTTACGCTGATGGGGGATGCTCCTTCGATGTCTCAGAACAAGTCTCTTGCTCAGATGGAGAGCGCGGGGAGCAATGCTATGTACGGTGGGCTGCTTAGCGTCTCCCTGGAGCTCTTCAAGATCACCATTGGGATGGGCGACCTGGAGTTCCAGGAACATGCCAGATTCAGATACTTCGTCATGCTCCTGCTGCTTCTCTTTGTGATCCTCACTTACATTCTTTTGCTCAACATGCTGATTGCGCTCATGAGTGAGACTGTCACAGATATTTCTGGCTATAGCAAAAGCGTCTGGAAGCTGCAGGTGAGACGTGGTGCTGCTCAGCAGTTGTGTCATGGCCCAAACTCCTGCTTGAGTCTCATAACATCACAGATGACAGTGCCTGTCTCTCTCCTGTGCCTCACCTGTAAAATTCTCTTTTACGTGAACTTGCCACTCTAAGGGTAAATCCTAACATCATTTTTAGGTTTATTTAAAACTCGTGCTGTTTAGATGGCTACTAGCCAGTCCAGATGCACACTTAAGTAACTTGAGAGGGTAACTGACTGTTAAGCTAAGGAGTGCTTTGGGATCAAGTTCTAAAGGCAAAGTAGTTGCTGATTGGGGAAGATTTAACTGAAAAGAGAGGCTGAGCTCTGTGTGCCCTGTTTTCTGTCTGACATGGACTTCTTCTTTCAGAGGGCTATTGCTATTCTAGAAATAGAGAAGGCCTGGCTGTGGCGCCAAGGTGGGAAGAGGAGATCTGGCTGCTTCGTGTCAGTGGGCCTCAATAAGAAAGATGAGAGATGGTGTTTCAGGTAAGACAGATGTACCATACCGCTTCCACTCCAGCCTGGTAGCGGGTTCCCATGATTCATAAGCTGGTAACCCTGAGCCGCCACAGGGAATTTCAGCACTGACTCAACACAGTGACTTGACCACATGTTCCTGAGTACATGCAAATTGGTGATTGCCATGCTGGAGTTTGAGAGCTAGTTGAGCTCCCAGCGTTGTCACCAAAAGATGTCCTGTTAACCCACGTCTGTGCAATCGGTTATGGTGGCAGGGAGTCTGCAAGGATGCTTTCTGTGCTGCTGCGAGTAGGGCTGTGCCCAGAGCAGGCTGTGCTGGGAGGGATGGGGCTGGTGGCCCATCGCTCAGGAGCGCACACGAGGTGCCAGCACTCTTCCTCGCATATTGGGGCTGGGAGAGCAGAGGAACCTTTCTCCACCCAGCGAGCTGAGCTGCAGGCAGCACTTCTGTAACTCTGGGGTGTTACAGAGCAGGTACAGAAAGTGGAACCTTGGAGCCTCTTTGTGTTAAGTATGCTCCCTGGGAGGAACTGGAGTATTTTAAAATAGCATAGACCAGCACACAATATACAGGGGAAGAAGATATCTGCCTCATGGAGCTTAGACTACAGAAAATCTTTACCCCAAAAAAAGCTCTGTAGGGTGTTGTTGCTACAGCCAAACCATTTGGACTGTGTTGGCAGGATGAGCTGGGTTGGGATGCTGTGGGACAGTGAGATACGGACTGAAATGCTGTGCTCCATGCACCAGTGTCTTGCATTTTGTCTCTCCAGAGTAGAGGAACTCAAATGGACAAATTGGACAAAGGATGTGGGAGTTCTTAAGGAAGAACCTGTAAACACCAATGATTCAGAAATAAATCCAGAAGGTAAATAATGAAGAAGGGTCTTCAGTATCCTTTTAGCTTCCTGCTCAGCAACTACTCTTGGCATGTTATTATGTCTTTGCTAACAGAAATTTTAGGCAGGCCAGCTGGCTCATTAAATTGCTTCCACACAGCATCCCTCAATAGTAGCAGCATCACTTGTGAACTGAAAATAAAGAATTAGAGTAGGTATGGACCTGGGCAGAGTTTGGGAACAAAGAACAAGAATGAAGGAGGTGCTTTTTGTAGGAAAGGTAAAATTTAGGCCCGGTCATGCTGCAAGTGTTAATCACGGGGCTTTTAGAGCACAAATCAGGGCATTGACTTGTCAAATGGCAACTTTGTCAAATCCTGCCTTAGATAATTGTGTTTGCTTCCCTTGTTACACCTGGGAAGCAACTCTGTGGAAAATGGAGAGCTATTACTTTCTTTTGAAATATTTTGTTCGCGTTGGCAGAGTGTGGGCAGAAGATCTCCAGATTTAAACACGGCCTCCTGCTCTTCCAGTGTAGGTTCTTCCTAGATGCCAGATTTCTAGGAATGGGGTGGTTGCATCTGGTGTATAAAATACTATCTGGTGTATGTTGGGTTTTCCATAAACCTGCGCTCTTCTAAAAACTGGGTCCCTTTGTCAGCTTCCTGCTGACAAAGGGCTGCTGTTTTTTTCTCCTGCTGTAGAGACAAGATCATGGAAACGGATGCCACAGAAACAACTGAGATCAGCTGTTTCAGAGGAGCAGTCACTATTGCAGCCCCACCTATCAGCAACTGAGATGATGCCTCTTGAAGGACAAACCAGAAATCTTTAGCAGGTTTTCTGGATTTCAACCTTACTTCCCTCTTCAAAGGAGTAGCTCTTCCCATGGTGGCTGGAGGAACTGAAGGCATTATCAGTATTAAAGTGCATTTCGTCGAAGACTGTGGTTCAGCCTGTGGCTTTAAATATTTTCATGCACTTTAATCATTAATTTCCTCTGAGGAAACTATTTTTACTCAGCTTTCCTCTCCCTGACACTTTGTTATTACTATGTCTAAAGGTGCAAGAGCAAGATCACAGAGGCAGTGGGGAGTGGTCTTTGGGAAGGCAGTGCTTTCTGAGCTGTATAGAAACAATGCTGTTTGCCATAGAGGAGCAGAGCATTCTATCTAAGAATGGGTTGACTGTTATTCTTTTGTCACAAGAGACTGTACTGAAGTGCTTTGGAATAAAGAGTGTTGTAGAGGCACAAAAAGTTGGTAAAGATGGAGTTGGCTTCTGTGCGTGCCACTGTCAGTGTGAGACATGAGTGGACAAATAGTTTTCAGTCATCAAGTGCCATTCTGAGTCTTTGTCTCAGTACCTGCAATGCTGGGTGTTTAGCCCCCATCAGAATTCCCATTTTACAGTATTATAATGAAATCGTTTGCACGATGTGCACGTTTGCTTAAAAGCGCAAAAGTGATGTGGATTTCCTGGACCTGTAACTTCACATGGTGAATTTCTGAAACATCTGTCTTTCACAGGTTGCTTTGTTTCTGTAGAAAATGGCAGCAGAATGCTGTGCAGGGCTTCTGAGAGACAGATGAGCCAAAATGCATTGTGTGGTTAACGTTTCTTGCTGCTCTTAGTGGGCATCCTGTCTTGCTTGATTACAAGGACATCATTGCTTTTTGTAATGTGCACTCTGCCGCAGGCAGGATGGGGAGCATACTTTAAACTCTGTGGAAAAGAGATAAAAATGAGCTGTCTCACTTTCAGCCTGTATTTAAAAATAATAACATGTAGTATTGCTGTAAGCTGTCAATATAACAACTTTACTTGATTGAAAATGTTCATCCTTGGATATATTTTCAGAGCTTCAGCCTCTCTCAAAAAGGAAGAGAAGACGTGATCAGTGTGGATTATAAGGCTGTATCAAATTCCTGTTTACATTTTACCCAGCACTGTGCTGACCTCACTGCCATGCAAGTTAACTCTTGTTTTTCGTGACTCGCGTCAGTTTATGCAGCCACGTCTGAAAATCTAACAGCTGAGGTTGCACTGGATGCATCTTTCAGACAGGGAATGGCTGGTGATAACTCTGAAAAAGCTGCAGACTACAAATGTCTGCCTTTCTGTCAGTAAGATAAACTATGCAATTCGAGATCTCCTGTCTCTCATTTCTACTCTGAACAAGTGAAGCTAGGAGGTTTGTCTTTTGGAGACAGCCATCTTAATCCTGTTGCTTACTACGTGCATGTGAGTGGCAGCAAGAGCTTTGCTTTTAAAACTTATTCCCTGTTGCTTCAGACGGGTTTTTGTTCTGTGCTGGACAATTCCCTCTGCAGCTTCACTGCATTGGGTCTCTGAATTGTAACAAACTTTTTTCACTCCAGCTTCTGCTTTATGAAGCCTTCAGCTGCTTTTTCCATCTATGGCTTTGTCCTAAGTGTTCCCAAGATTTGGCAAGGTGCTTGTATTGCACAAATGGATCATCTGGCATATGGTAATCTATTGCTGTGCTTGATGGTTTGCTGTGGTAGGGAAGCTTTGAGATTCTCAAGAAAAGCAGAATCTGATCTGCCATCCCTGCTTGGAGTCTTAATAAACAACAGAAGAGAAATCTCACTGGTTGGTAGTGTTTTTGATAGCTGTGGGCTGTGACAGCTTTCTTTCAAGATAACCTGCCTCTCCAGCCTTTCCTTGAACCTGCTTCTCTTTAAATCCCTTTCTTAAGCTTGCAGTGTTGGTTTATCTTTCGATCTGCATTAAAAATGTTCCTAAACAACTAGTGTCCACTGTGAAACAGGACCATGGCATTCCATATGCTTCACAGTCACGCCGCAGACCACCCGTCCCAGCCCTCTCAAGGTGATGGACAGCAGGCAGGGTCAGGTTGGTCAGGAGATTTGGCAGTGCCCAGGCTCTTGTACCGTTCTTTGTGCTATGGAAAAAAGGAGATTTTTGAGGGGTAACGACTTCTCTGCAGTGGGGTCCCTGCTATAGAGCTGGGGTGAGTCAGTACTATTGAGATTACTGCCAGTAGCCTCCCAGTTTTCCCTATCCTTAGTGCACGAGGCTCCTCTTTGGTTTCGCCGTCTGAGCCACTTCCCATTTTGGTCACATTACAAGCAGGAAAGCTGGCTGGGGTTTATTTTGTGGAACGTCTGCAGTTCCTGGCAAGAGGAAGGACTTGCAAAGTGATTCATAGCTTTGAAGGACCAACAGGATTTTGGGATCCACTCTTAATGGATCATAATGTTTTGTCAGGAAACACTTCAGTCATTTGCACAAGAAATTATCAACAGATGAACTGCCCTCTCCCTTCTACCTCTTGCGACAGGTAAACCCCCCTGCATGTGAATCCATCCCTGTGCAAATCAGGAGCCTTCTGAGAAAACAGAAACCTTTTGTAAACGTGAAGGAAAAGCTGCAGGTTCTCTCCTCGGTCTGCTCTGTGTGTTGGAGCCATGGAGACTCCAGCCAGGCCCCAGGGAAAAGACACCAGCAGCTTATTACTGTCCACGCAGGGTTAGGGATGCTCAAACCCTCCCCTCTGTGATCTGGTCAAAGCTGCTTGGTTCCTGGCAGGGTCGGGAGATTAATGCAGACTTTGTTGCTTCCGAACTCCTCCTCTCTTTGAGCACAGTGTGCCTGGTCAGTGCTCCCTGTGGCCCCTCTGCTGGGCTCCGGATGTTTCCCACTGATCTATCTCGCTGCTTATCTGTGTAATTTTCTTAAAAGAAACTTCATGTCTGGTTTGTGTGGTTCCCAGTTCTCCATAAGGCCATTTTTCTCAGAAGTATAGGTAGAAGCAAGACTTTCTTCTTCCTCAACTGCTTTGCACGTTTTATTGTTGTTCTTTTCCCCCCCGTGTTTATTTCAAAGCGTGCTCAGAAGCTGAAGTCAGTCTGTGTCTCCGTCGATTCCCTCTCTCTTCATCTCTTTGTGACCCCATTTGCAACTGAGCATACTTTCCGTTGCCTCTGTAGCTAGCAGAAGGACTCTTTTGAAATGTGACAAGCAAAAGGGCTCAGACGAAGAACAGATGCTTTATGTAAGTCTCCATAAGCTGCAAAGAGCTATTTCTGAAGCGAAGCGGCTGGCAGATTCCTCAGCTGGCCTGTTCCTGTGACGAGCTACCAGCTTTGTTCTTCTTTGCTGTATTTAGGAAATTTCATTTGTTGCTCCGGGACTAAAATGAAAATAAAACTAGAAATTAAAAAAAGAAGACAATTTAAAAGAAAACTGTTCCGCTTTGCAACCTCGCGTCTGCTTCAGCAGCACAAATAAAAATGGGGCCAGATAGGACCAGGCAAAGCCTCAGAAAGGCATCACTGCGGCTGCCTCGCGGCTGGCACCCAACTGGCACTAAAATCTGACTGCAAAGAGTGTTTTCTTCACTTCCTCTTTTGTCCTAATCTCTTTTTTCAGTTCAGATTCGTGAGACGTGGAGTGCTACAGCATTTCTGGCCTGGGAGGATGGGTGTCAAAGGGTGTTAAACACAGGGAGTCCTTAGAGGAGGAGAGTTAGAGCCTGGCTAGAAAGCACCTGTGTGGTTTGTTACGCTCTTTTCTGAGCATTCTTGGAAAACTTACACTTTGGGGCAAAGAGAACCATGTCTCTGGAACGGCTTTCACCTCCTCCCCTCCTTTCCAAGCTTTTGGAATTAACCCTTCTGATTGCTCAGCGTTGGCTGTTTCAGGTCCAGATGGCACTAATGTGTTTCAGGTGACCAATTGTTCAGCGTTAGACGGGCTGCTTTCAACCCTGCAGCAGAGTACTATTGGTGTAGAAGGTAAACAGCAATCTTTTATTTCATCACTACCTTTTGAGAAATAAGGAGAAAGTGGCTGACCCTGTTTCTATTGCATCCTCAGGTACGCAGGGGGATGCTCTGGAACGTGAGCTCACACAAGCTGGTTTCAACGTGCAGATTTTGGACACGGTAAGTGTTCTGCATTTAACTCCGCTAAACGGTGGTGTGCTGTGCTGCTGCCTCAATACTTGTGAGGAATGAGGAGATGTCCCATGAGAAGTAACGGTGACACAGACGTGTGAGCCCTATGTAGTCAAATCTTCTTTGCAAGCCACTCCTTGCTTTGAATGTGCCAGATAAGTAAAAATAACACTTCTATATAGTCAGTCAGTAGTGAATTTTATCTTAGGATGGGATTTATCTCATGTGACCCCTGTTCTAACCACTGCATGCTTTTTATTCCATTGGCTAGAAGAGCTATCTCCAGCTGACAGCTTTGATTTTGCTGGCATTCACATCTCCAATGCACAAGTCAGGAGCTCTGTTACTTTGCAAATAAAATAATTATCCTCCTCAGAATCCCCTGGCTTAAAGCCTCCATCCACTCAGGACAAGAATGATCTCTGTCCTTGTCAGGAGGGGAAAACAGTGGATTGTGAGGAGGCTAATGAACATTTAGCAGTCTTGGCTGCAACGACAATACTGATACAATTCTGGGGGAAAAAAAAAAAGTGTCTTGTAGTGAGCATGTGCAGCTGCTTCTCTGGTGCTGGGCAGTCACCTTGTCTGTCTTCAGTGTCTGGCAGGAGCTGCCCAAGCTACAGGGTCCAGGAAAGATAAACCTGAAAATAAAACCGCTTTGCAGAGTGCTAGAGATCACTAGCGCTGGCAGTTGTCCTGTGTTCATCTCTTCTGATTTGGAATACATTGCTTCTGCAGCAGCATAGGTTTGGTGCGGTGGGCTTTTCCTCCAGGCAGAGCGTGTGGTGCTGATAACGTGTGCTGGTTTTGCTCCTTGAGTGAATGCACCAGGGTACAGCATGGCAGTGGTGGACACAGAATGCGGACCCCTGGTCGTGTACAGCATGAGAGGGAAGGTGGTGGTGTTTCAGGATGGCCACTTAAAACAAGCCCTGCAAGGAGAACAGGTACTGCGCTTCACTCGCCCGGGGCCGGTCAGGTCAGGGGGGTTGCACACATCTCATTTGCTCGAACAGCAGCTGTATTTTCTCCTCCAGATGTACTTACACCCTTACACAAGCCCCCGATTTAGCCAGATGTGGATTACACAGTCTGTGTTTGCTCCGTAATGCTTTGGGAACATCGTAAGAAATCATGAAATTTGGAAAAGACCGGGAAGAAATTTACCTA